TTTATAAAGGATATTTATGTTATGCTAATCAGTAGCTCTTTGCCATACCCGCTCCTTCACGGCTCCGACCTTTAATGTTGTCAGAGCGTAGGCTAAGAATCTCTGAGCCTGTGCTCTGACTCACTAACTGAGCACCGGAACCATGAGGGAGAGGCTACAATCTGACTGCACCTACTGCTGGTGCGCACCAGTGGACCACCAGGGAATCATTTAAATTGAATAGGCTCCTCTGTTGTCATAGTGCCCTGCGTGACAGCACAGCTTTCACAACCCAAAGGCTGACACTAACACTGACACTAACTCTCAATAAAACAAACACACACACACTGACAGGCAGACACACACACACACACTGACAGACAGATATACACATTCACAGACAGACAACCACTTACTTGACAGACACATTCGCTGACACACACACTCATACACTGGCAGACACACAAACATTGACAGATACACACTCAATGACACACTTATTAAAAAACACATACACTTACACACACACACACACTGACAGATACACTTACTGACAGACACCAGTGCCATCTTAACAACATTATGAGCCCTGCCTACACAACCCACAGGAATAAAAACGTAAATTATAGATACAATTAAGCTTATATTTATTAGTACCTCCAACAAATGCAACACATACATACAATACATACACACAGACTGCTGAATATAGTCACAGACTGCTGAATACATTCACACACAGACTGCTGAATACATTCACACACTGACTGCTGAATACATACACACAACGACTGCTGAATATACACACACAGACTGCTGAATACACACACAGACAGACTGCTGAGTACACATAGAGAGTACATACACACAGTCCGCTGCATACAAACACACACAAACACATACACACACTGGTGAATACATACACACAGACTGCTGAAAACATACACACAGTCCGCTGAATACACACACACACAGAGTGCTGAATAAATACAGACTGCTAAATGAACACACACACACTGCTAAATACACATACAGAGACTGCTGAATACATACAGACTGCTAAATACACACATACTGCAGTGAGGGGTGCAGTGTATGTGTTTGTGTGTACAGGTGGGGTGTGTGTGTGTGCGCGTGGAGTGCTATGGAAGTGTGGGGTGCTGTGTGTGTGCGTGTGGAGTGCTATGTGAGTGTGGGGTGCTATGTGTGTGTGTGGAGTGCTATGTGAGTGTGGGGTGCTGTGTGTGTAGAATGCTATGTGTGTGTGGAGTGCTCTGTGTGTGTGTTGCAGAGTTTGATCTACCCTATCAGCTGGGCATGCTGGGCAGCCCGGTGGGGCCCCCATGCGTTTGCGGTCCCCGGGCAACTGCCCAGCGTGCCCATGCGAAAAGAAGGCCCTGACAGTCGACAGACACAGACACACACACTTACTGACAGACACACACACATTCACTTCCAGACACACACACTCACTTCCAAACACACACGCTCACTTATTGACAGACACACACACACACACACACACACACAAGTCTGTCCTGATTGGTTTTGTAACTTTATATCCTGTGTACCACAAGGTCCACGTGGGTGGTAACCTTGTGGGAAAACCTGTATATAAGAGAGAATAAACCCTCAGACTGCTGAGTTCCTGTTTTACCCTCAACATAGAGCCTCGTCTCATGTGTGGGGGAAAAGGCTGCATCTACACTGGGGGATTGATATACTCTGTATACTCCCCTGGCTATAATCACTAAGCTCTTTTAAGAGCTTGTTCTTGCTTCGCTCTCTGAAGGAAGAGAGGTTCACCCACTGGAGCCTGGAGCCTTGTCGTAGATCCAGGGTGGGTAGGAGGCGGCGAAACCCCAGCCAAGCTGCGGTGATTCGTTAGGTCTGCAGTGCTTGGAGCCCTCGGGATGTACTAGGTACCTAGTTGGGGTGCCAGGTGCTCCATTACAAGTGTAAAACCGTAAAACATGTTATCAGAAATTAAGATGCTAATACTCACATGAATGAACCTAGCTCTGCTGTGTAGAACTTTTTTGTCCGTTTTGGGTGACCACTTGCTTCTTCTGTGCAGCAATTTCAAGGGTTAGCCCTTTACTTCCAGGATATTTCAAGATAAAGGAAATATGCAAAATAGTGTAATTCCCCCTTAACAATATTTAACGTGTATACAGTAATTATTATGATCTCAAAGGTAGCGCCTACAGCCCGTCTCAGTACAGAAGCATTATGTGGTTAAGGACCGCACCACCTTCTTTGGTAATGCAGGAACCCAGACAGTGGATGTTAAAAAAATCATTGTCTTTATTCAAAATTTAACAGTAATATAAAACAACAAAAAGTGGCATATAAAATAACAGTATCTGTTGTGGAGTCCTTGTAATAGTTCCAGAAACCCATTTTGACGTTTTGTTGCTTTCTCAATCCGGTTTATCATGCTTCTCTGGTCCCTGTTTGCATATTTATAGCCCTTCTAGTGATCTTCATTCGTTCTAGCTGGGGATCGTTTCCCCTCCTACCGCAAGGCCCATCAGTAGAGTTCACTGCTGCCATGTAACAAACGGTTGCGTACTCTGTATAAGTCAGGCAGGTGACTGGCAAGGTTATGGGGTGTGGGCTGTAGACGTTGTGAATCCACATACCTCATACATTTCATGGCTCTGCAGTGCATGGCAGGGAAAAATCATTCGTTACACTTTTTAGCATCAGCTTTACAACATCATGAGACAGATGCAGGCCTTCTTACCTTGTTTGTATGAATTACTCAGAAGTGACAAAGATGGACAATGGAATCAATCCCGAATAGGTCCTATAAGCCATAATATCCTCAACTTAGGGATGTATTAGAATCTATAGAAGGTTTTAGGAAGGTTTTAAAGGGATTATATAGGCACCCAGAAAACTTCAATACCAATCAAAGGTTACCTCCTTTTACAGAGGGGTGTGTATAGTACAGTGCTTTAAAACAGATAAGGTGATTTACAGGCTGCTCAATACACTTATGTGAAAATATCCTCTATTCCACAAGATGAGATTAAAATTATTGGTGTGGTTTAAGCTATAAACAGACTTATACCAATAAGTGGAGCGCTCCAACACAAATACAGCTTACCAAATGATATTTCATTCATTGGCGGAGTGTAAAGTACATGTTTAAAAGAAATACAAGAAATACAATATAGTGTAGACGGTATGGAAAGTAGTAATATAATAGTGATGATGGTATTGGGTAAATTGAACACTCACATTTCTAGGAGCCTGTATATAAAAACACTGGCTCCGTATGTTGGCCGATGTGCTTATAAGGGTAGCACCGCCCGTCTCCTTGGGTGTGGGGTAGTTCTCCAAAACAAAACAATATAGAGAGAGCAAACCAATGTGTAGAACGTGCTTGATAAAAAACACAATATAATGGAGATAAATGGTGTGCTCACCTGGTCCTGAGCCTGTGGGTCCCGGCTCTAGGTGTATAGGTTTTGTGCCACTTTAAATGGGGATGACACTGCCCCTGGGAAGATTCTCTCGAGGTTTCCAAAAGAAGGACTATTGAGAATAAAATAAATAAAAACAATGATAATTAAAAAGTCCTCTTAAAAAGTCCTCTTTCAAATAGCCAATACGCGTTTCACTCCTTCTGTGGAGCTTCCTCAGTCAGCTGTGATAGTAGTCCTCTGAATCTTCCATCTTAAATGTTTTTAAGGTCCTCCCCTTTAATGAGTTCAGTCCATTTTAATCATATCATGATTGGAGGGAATGGATTGAACTCATTAAAGGGGAGGACCCTAAAAACATTTAAGATGGAAGATTCAGAGGACTACTATCACAGCTGACTGAGGAAGCTCCACAGAAGGAGTGAAACGCGTATTGGCTATTTGAAAGAGGACTTTTTAAGAGGACTTTTTAATTATCATTGTTTTTATTTATTTTATTCTTAATAAATTCATCATTTATCTCCATTATATTGTGTTTTTTATCAAGCACGTTCTACACATTGGTTTGCTCTCTCTATATTGTTTTGTTTTGGAGAACTACCCCACACCCAAGGAGACGGGCGGTGCTACCCTTATAAGCACATCGGCCAACATACGGAGCCAGTGTTTTTATATACAGGCTCCTAGAAATGTGAGTGTTCAATTTACCCAATACCATCATCACTATTATATTACTACTTTCCATACCGTCTACACTATATTGTATTTCTTGTATTTCTTTTAAACATGTACTTTACACTCCGCCATTGAATGAAATATCATTTGGTAAGCTGTATTTGTGTTGGAGCGCTCCACTTATTGGTATAAGTCTGTTTATAGCTTAAACCACACCAATAATTTTACCCAGAAAACTTCAACTCAGTGAAGGGGTCTGGGTGCCATGTCTCCCCACCATGTTTTAATCCTGCAGTAGAAAACATTTAGGCATACAGAAACATACATTCAAAGACATACAGACACATACATACAGGTAGACAGAAATCTACATACAGAGACATACTGGCATGCAGAGACATGCATACATACAGAGGCATACTACCATACAGACACATACATACATACAGGCATACAGAAACATGCATACAAAGACATACATACATACATACATATGTAAATACATAGACATAAAGGCATACAGTTACATGCATGCATACAGAGACATACATACATACAGAGGCATACCGTCATACAGACACATTCATACATACATACATACAGGCATACAGAAACATGCATACAAAGACATATATATACATACGTACATACAGACACATAAAGGCATACAGTTACATGCATGCATACAGAGACATACATACATACATACATACATGCATTCACACAGTCACAATTACATACTTACATCTGTTCAATCTGGTCTCTGGGGTGCACACTGTCCGGCTCTGTGGAGTCCTGTCCTGTAGCCCAGCCTCATCACTGGGCACCAGCAATGTTGTGTGGTACACAGGGAGCAGGGATATGATGTAATTCACCCCCTCCACACAGCCTGCTGGAGACACCAGGGTAAGAGGCTGGGCTGGGCAGGCAGTACGAGATTGGGCTCCGCAGGCAGCAAGATCTGCGCTCGGCCACTCTACAAGAAGTAACTGGCTAGAGGGGAGCATAGTGCGCTTCCCTCCAGCCGGACAGCCTGACATTGCGCCCCCAGAGCTGTTGCGCCCTAAGGCAGCTGACAGGGCCGCCTTATGGTAGTGCCGGCCCTGTTAGGAATACACATTTGTATTCCTTAGCGCTATAGTGTTCCTTTAAGTACCATCTAGATAATATATTATTATTAAGTTAGTGGAATCTATTATTTATGGTGCATTTGCTAAGAGGACTCTTTTCATTTATTTTAGGGATGTATAGGGTAAGTATTGTTTTGTTGGTATATAGAACATATCTTTCAATCACTGGTTGGAAGGTTTTATGGGGGAGAGGGGCATCTTTATCTCGTGTTGGGAGGTAGAACCACTTATGAATAATTTGAATGACTGAACCCAGGGTCACAGTGCTTTTTTGATAAGCAGGTCACTTGCTTTTGGTGTCAGAATTTGTGAATAAGCACCAGCTCACAGTGTCCTGCGTGGACTTTGGTTAGATAAGCAGTCCACCTGGTGAAAGAGCATTAAACGATAGAGCAAGAGTAATCCAGGAGAAACATTGAAATAAGGTTTTTGCTTAAAGGTATGTATTGCGAAAAAAATACACAATACACAAACACACAAACACACATATACACACAAATACACATACTCGCAAGCTTTTATTTTACATAATAAAAATCCTGACAGTTTTAAACATCTAACTACTTCTCTTTTATGGAAGAATGCTACAGTGAATGGTGAGGTTTAGTACTGAATCACCGTTAACTATTTTGATAATAGAATGTATAACCTATAACCTCCCACATTTTTTGATTAATTCATAGTAATTTATGTGATAAGTGACTACCATCTATAAGTCACACCTTAAAGATCAGTTAAGACCATTTGATAAATAACTCAATATTGAGGAAGCAAGGACAGTATAGTTGCACCATCAGCACTTTAATAAAGTGACATTATTGGTACCTTTGCTAAAGTGGTTATGGTACCTCCAGTGTCCCTTTAAACAAAACCCTAGTTTACAGAGTAAGAACAAGCAGTCTGTATACTCACAGGTTTGTCAGATTGGCTCTTAGGATCTTGTTATATGGATGCACATTTGATCATCAAAAAGCTGCAGCTATATTGCTCCCCTGCTGTCTTGGAAGTCCTAAGAGAGATGTACATACCTATAAGTACTTACAACAGTGCGACAGACAAGCATGTCTCACAACATGGATGTGGCTAGTGTTCCCTTGTTGGTGACCTGAATGTACAGCAGATTTCCCTAAAAGCATTCTGACTTGTCTTTACAATATTTAAGGTCCACTAGCCAAAGTGAAAAGTTCTGGTGATTACAGCTATCCCAAGGAGAAAGAAAGTACAGGATTCTCTATGTAGACATAGTAGTACCAAGTCCATGTAGTGGAAGAAACAATCTTAAAACAATATATTTAAAAATAGCCCTGAAGATTGAGGTTGTCATAGCTTAATCCTTATTTTCAGCAAAACCCCTCATTTCCCTGATATTTTTTTACAAGATCAGATAAGATAATAGCGCACAGTGTACGCCAACGTGGTTTATTCGGCTTGGTTTGGAGTTAGATTAGCTCAGTTTGAATGGTGGAAAATTTGTGAATTTCATCTGAATTTAAACTTTGCTTTGAATTGATCTGATTAAAGATTAGTTCCTAGAAATTGTATTGCAGTGAAAGAGGTTGTCAAAAGAGGTTGATGTCAGGTTTTCGACATGTGTGTAAAGTTTATCTTCAAATAACAAATAATATATAGAGGAACAAAACAAGAGAATATTTACTGCATTGCAAATTCCATTAATGTTTTAGGTTTTGAGTATATAAAGGGATTTACAAAGCTAAATTATTAATTAGCATTTACTGCTAGTCTGTTTTAAAAAATGTTTTAATTATTAATGTTCGACAAAGAGAATTTCGCTCATACAAAACATTCTTGTAATTCTTTGGGTTTCAACTTTTTTTTTTTTAACTATACAAGACGTAATTTGGTTTATAATTTTAATGTTCGGTACAAATATAATATAATATATATATAACAGAACATAAAGATGTGACTTGTTTGACGTCGACAGATGTGATTGTAGTACTGAAAAATGCTTTCAAAGATTATGTTTAAATGCAGGCTGGACCCACGTGGCGTCTGATAATTTACCGTATAGCCCAATTCTTTCAGGAAAGTCTTAATCATTAATTAATAGAAATTACCATTGAACATTCCATGGTGTAATACTGTCCTTCACATGAAAAGGCTGAACAATGACATTGTACATGATACGAAAGGTACAAACTAGTCTTGGGAGGTTTCGTAGAGTTTTATATGTTTAGACGGCATTTTATGGGCATGTTGTTTTAATTATCACATGGAGAATGTATGAAGAGTCACCTTGGACCCTACTGTAAATTTTTATAGTGGTGGCCTTTTTAATATGACAGAATGCGCCTGAGTTAATTAATTTTGAAGAACACTCTAAAAACTAAATTGAAAAAAAACTAAACAAAATGGAAGAACACGTGTTTAAACAAGCCACCAGTTTATTCTATGGACTATCAAAGCGGTGCTTTGGAACCAGTAAAAGCAGATGTACCAGAATGAATTTCTTGAAGAGTTTTTGATTTTTCTGAAATACAATAAAAATCAGTAAAAAATAAATTTAAAAAAAAAAATGGTTTTCCGGCACTTTCCTGACAAAATGAATTAGATGAGCATGAGTGATTTTAACAAGAGCTGAGTTAATTCAAGAGACAAAAAGATCTACAGATATAATATTCAGTCACCCTTAAATTTATTGCAAAACTATATATAAATGTTAAAGGATATATTCAACTAACTGAAAGATATTTCCCACTCCGGATTTTACTATCCCTCTTCTATACCTGGGAAATATATATCTACTTGCTCTAGATATTTTAGGTATTTACATAGTAGATGCATCTCCATTTAAAAATAGTTAAGAAGGGTAGAGAATAATGTGATAAATAAAAGCAAATACAAGTAACACTCAGGTACCTGGGCAGTTTTGATAAATGTTAACGCTACTGGTTTAACAGCATATCAAACGCTGACTACAAGCAAATTGGGTCGAGAAACCTCAAGTGAATTTTCGAATTAGCATTCTCACCTGGAGGTTGGGGAAAAGACCACAACATCACAAAGGAGTCATAAACCAACAATGGAAGGACGAAGGAGAAAAAAATATCAGAAACATCCAAAAACTATTATTTATCAGACGATCACCTAATCCAAATGGAGGCATGTGTGCTGGTCTATGGACTGTGTTTCGCCCCACCATTAAAGCCAGTTATTTCAGTATGATGATATATGTAAATAAAAGAGACTAACCTATTTTAAACTTTAAATGTCATAATTAAATGTCATAATTAGCAGCATTGTAGCAAACATTCTAATAATAACTGTAACCCCAACTTTCCTTGCCATTCCTGTCAAGCTGAGCAAACCTCTCAGATACCGTGTGTACATATTCCTGTAAAATCAAAGAGACTAGGTCACTGACCTAAAAGGGGAACCAATGAGAGCGTGTCACCTGTCGAATCTCCACAAACCCAGTCCATCATCCTTAGTATTGTGGACATAGGCGTGCGCAGCCTATTGCATTAGGGTGTGCACCCTAAAGCACAAGCACACGCCGCGTATATGTATGTATGTATGTATGTATGTGTATATATATATATATATATATACACACACATACACACTGCTGTGTGTGTGTGTGTGTGTGTGTGTGTGTGCTGTGTGAAGGTGCTGGTAGTGTGCTATGTGGGTGTTTGTGTGTGTGCGCTTGTGAGGGTGCTGTTAATGTACTGTGTGTGAGGGTGCTGTTTGTGTGTGAGGGTACTGGTAGTGTGCTGTGTGTGTATTTGTTAGGGTCCTGTTAGTGTGCTGTGTGTGTGTGTGAGGGTGCTGTTTGTGTGCTGTGTGTTTGTGAAGATGCTGTATGTGTGTGGGTGCCGTATGTGTGTTTGTGGGTGCTGTATGTGTGTGTGTGGGTGCTGTATGTGTGTGTGTGGGTGCTGTGTGTGTGGGTGCTGTTTGTGGGTGATGTGTGTTCTGTTTGTGTGGTGTATGTGTGAGGATGTTGTGTGTGTGTGGGTGATGTTTGTTTGCTGTGTGTGTGTGGGTGCTGTGTGTGTGTGGGTGCTGTGTGTGTGTGCTGTATGCAATGCTCAGCTCCCCGGGTCCTCTCCTGCCTCCCTCCCTGCCTGTGGGTGGGTGGGGAGGGAGGCTGAGAGCAGAGCCGGTGCTCAGATAGCGCCGGCTCTGCATGAGCCAACGGGGGGATTCTGAGATCTCCCCTGCCGGTCTCAATACATAGGTGTGCCGCGGGGATTAGGGTGTGCCCAGGCACACCCAGCACACCCCGTGCGCACACCTATTATTGATAGACTGCTGAGCACATACACAGTACACTGAATACGAACACCGAGAGACTGCTGAATACACACAGACTCCTAAATGCACACAGGCGTTGCTGAATGCACACAGGCTGATTTATACATGTACACACAGACGGCTGAGTCCATACACACATACAAACACACACACACACAGACTGCTGAGTCCATATACACACACAGACTGCTGAGTCCATACACACACGCAGACTGCTGAGTCCATATACACACACAGACACACACAGACTGCTGAGTCCATACACACACACACACACACACACACACACACACACACAGACTGCTGAGTCCATACACACCACGCAGACTGCTGAATCCGCCTTCTACACACACACTGAACTGCTGAGTCCATACACACATACAGACTGCTGAGTCCATACACAAAACACACACACATACACAGGCACGCTTTGAGTCCATACACACACACAGACACACAGACTGCTGAGTCCATACCCACACACACACAGATAGACTGCTGAGTTCATACACACACAGACTGCTGAGTTCATACACACGCACAGACTGCTGAGTTCATACACACACAGACTGCTGAGTTCATACACACGCACACACACAGACTGCTGAGTCCAAACACACACAGACTGCTGAGTCCAAACACACACACACACACACAGACTGCTGAGTCCATACCCACACACACACAGATAGACTGCTGAGTTCATACACACACAGACTGCTGAGTTCATACACACGCA